GTAGATGGAAGACATCTCTCCCTCTCTCTGCCTCTCTTTCAAATAACTCCTTCAAATAAATAAATAAATCTAAAAAAAAATGTTTATATGGTCCTTCACCTGTGACAATGCTTAGTGTTCCAACTACTCCATGGTTGTTGGCCACTAGACTATACCTAACAACCATTTTTCCTTCTTTTCCTTTCATTTTTTATCACCAAAGCTCAGCCAACAGGATGATGGCAACTTCTAACACAATGTCCAATTAAAATACACCGAAAACAAATAAACAATTTTAATGACTCCAGAGTAATCATCTAAGTTATTTTTTTCCCTTCTTTCCACCTCAATTTCTTAAATCTATAATTATTCTAATGCCTCCTCTAGAGGAGCACTTTTCTACTTTAAAAAAACAAACCAGAATGGGCAAACTGTTTTATTTAATGGACAATTAAGATTTACTAAATGCCAGTGGTTAGATATTACAGATATCACATTGCTGAGCTAAATCATTCACAAAAATTAAAACCCACTGTATAAAAAATAGACCAGCTGTGTTGATCATGCAAAGAACAATGTCGTTGAGTACTTCTGTTTTCCTCTAGGAACCTGATGCTTCCAGGTCTTAGGCTTAGATCCTTGTTCCACATTGAGTTGATTTTTGTATAGGGTATAAAGCAGGGGTTGTGTTTCATACTTTTGCATATGGAGATCCAGTATTTCCAACACTATTTGTTGAAGAGATTGTCCTTTCTCTAGGGATTGATTTTAGTTCATTTGTCAAAGATTAGTTGGGTGTAGATGCATGGGCCAATTTCTGGGGTTTCTAATCTGTTCCATCGGTTCCCATGTCTATTTTTGTGCCAGTATCATGCTGTTTTGATTATAACTGCCCAGTAGCATGTCTTGAAATCTGGTATTGTAATGCCTCCAGGTTTTTTTTTTTTTTTTTTTTTTAAAGATTTATTTCTTTGAGAGGTAGAGTTACAGAAAAAGAGAGAGGGGAAGAGAGAGAGACGTCTTCTATCCTCTGGCTTACTCCCCAGTGGCTCTAATGGCTGGAGCTGGGCTGATCCAGAGCCAGGAGCAAGGAGTTTCTTCCAGGTGTCCCACGTGGGTGCAGGGGCCCAAACATCTGGGCCATCCTCTACTACCTTCCCAGACTACAGCAGAGAGCTAGATCAGAAGAGGAGCAGCTGGGACATGAACCAGCATCCATATGCGGCACCAAAAGCAGAGGCTTAGCCTACTACACCTCCAGCTTTGTTTCTATTGTTTAAGATTGCTTTAGCTATTCAAGATCTCTTGTGTTTCTATATGAATTTTACTGTACATTTTTCCTGATCTGAAAAGAATGTCCTTCGTATTTTGATATCACATTGAATCTGTAAATTGTTTGGGTAGTATGAACATTCTGATGAAATTAATTATTCCAATCCATGAATATCAAAGATTTTTCCATATTTTTGTTCTATTCTATTTCTTTAATGCTTTGTAATTTTCATTGTAGAGATCTTTCACATCCTCATTTAAATTTATCTCTAGATACTTAAATGTATTTGGAGCTATTGTGAATGGGTTTTATTTATTTTTTTTGACAGGCAGAGTGGACAGTGAGAGAGAGAGAGAGAGAGAGAGAGAGAAAGGTCTTCCTTTGCCGTTGGTTCACCCTCCAGTGGCTGCCGCGGCCGGCACGCTGCGGCCGGCGCACCATGCTGATCCGATGGCAGGAGCCAGGTACTTATCCTGGTCTCCATTGGGTGCAGGGCCCAAGCACTTGGGCCATCCTCCACTGCACTCCCTGGCTACAGCAGAGAGCTGGCCTGGAAGAGGGGCAACTGGGACAGAATCCGGCTCCCTGACCAGGACTAGAACCCAGTGTGCCAGCACCGCAAGGTGGAGGATTAGCCTAGTGAGCCGCGGCACCGGCCCCCCCCCCTTTTTTTTTTTTTTGTGAATGAGTTTTATCTTACAAGTTCCTTCTCAGGCATGGCATTGTGTATTCAAATATTATTGATTTTTGTATGTCTATTTTATATCCTGTAACTTTGCCAAACTCTTATAAGTTACAATAATCTTTTCTTTTTAAAGATTTATTTATTTATTTGTATTTATTTGAAAGGCAGTTACGAGAGAGAGGGACACACAGAGAGAGATCTTCCATCATCTGGTTCGCTCCCCAAATAGCCACAATGACTAGGGCTGGGCCAGACTGAAGCCAGAAGCCAAGAGCTTCTTCTAGGTCTCCCACGTGGGTGCAGGAGCCCAAGAACTTGGGCCATCTTCTGTTGCTTTATTTGAAAGGCAGAGTTTATAGATATAGAGAGGGAGAGGCAGAGTGAGAGAGTGAGAAAGAATCGATCTTCTATCCATTGGTTTACTCTCCAAATGGCCGCAATGGCCAGAGCTGCGCTTCTTCTCAATCTCCCGTGTGGGTGGAGGCAGCCCAAGAACCTGAGCCATCTTCTGCTGCTTTCCCAGGCACATTAGCAGGGAGACAGACTGGAAGTGGAGTAGCCGGGACACAAACTGGGAGGCCAGCATTGCAGGTAGCAGCTTTACCCACTGTGCCACAACGCTGGCCCCTTCAATAATCTTTCATTTATTTATTTATTTTTTAAAAATATTTGACAGGCAGAGTGGACAGTGAGAGAGAGAGAGACAGAGAAAAAGGTCTTTCTATTGCCGTTGGTTCACCCTCCAATGGCCGCCGCCGACGCACTGCGCTGATCCGAAGCCAGGAGCCAGGTGCTTCTTCTGGTCTCCCATGGGGTGCAGGACCCAAGGGCTTGGGCCATCCTCCACTGCACTCCCTGGCCACAGCAGAGAGCTGGCCTGGAAGGGGGGCAACCGGGACAGAATCCGGTGCCCCGACCGGGACTAGAACCTGGTGTGCTGGTGCCACAAGGCGGAGGATTAGCCTAGGGAGCCACGGTGCCGGCCTCAATAATCTCTTAGTGGAGTCTTTCGGTTCTCCTTTGTATAGGATCATGTCATCTGCGAACAGGGACAATTTCACTTCCTCCTTTCCCATCTATATCCCTTATGATTTGTTTTCTTGTGTAATGGTTGTGGCTAAAACTTCCAGAACTATATTGAATAGTAATAATGAATGGTCATCCTTGTCTGGTTCCGGATCTTAACGCAAATGCTTCCAGCTTTTCTCCATTTAATATGATGCTGGCTGTGGTCTGTCATATATTGCCTTAACTGTGTTGCGGTTATGCTCCTTTTATAACCAATTTGCTTAAGGCTGGCAAAGACTTCTTGGATAAGACTCCAGAAGCACAGGCAATAAAAGCAAAAATAAACAAATGGGATTTCATCAAATTAAGATGTTTGTGTAGAGCAAAGGAAACACTCAGCAAAGGCAATCACCAGAGTAGGAGAAAATATCTGCAAACCATACATGTGATAAAAGATTAATATCCAGGATCTATAAGGAGCTCAAGAAACTCAATAAAAACAGAACAAATAATCAAGAAATGGGCTGGGACCAGCACTGTTGCCTAGTAGATAAAGCTGCCACCTGTCACACTGGCACCCCATACAAGCGCCAATTAGAGTTCCAACCTAGCTCCCTGCTAATGGCCTGGGAAAGCAGTGGAATATGGCCCAAGTACTTGTGCCTCTGACACCCACATGGGAGACTCAGAAGAAGCTCCTGGTTGCTGGCTTTGGCTTGGCCCAGCCCTAGCCATTGTGGACATTTGGGGAGGGAACCCACAGATGGACAGTTTCTGTCGCTCTCCTTCACTCTGTAACTTTCATATAAATAAATAAACCTTTAAAAACCAATGATGAGGTTTTCTTTCTTTTTTCTTTCTTTTTTTTCTTCTTTTTTTTTTTTTTGACAGGCAGAGTGGACAGTGAGAGAGAGAGGGAGAAAGGTCTTCCTTTACCGTTGGTTCACCCTCCAATGGCCGCTGCGGCCGGCGCACCATGCTGATCTGAAGGCAGGAGCCAGGTGCTTCTCCTGGTCTCCCACGCGGGTGCAGGGCCCAAGGACTTGGGCCATCCTCCACTGCACTCCCGGGCCACAGCAGAGAGCTGGACTGGAAGAGGAGCGACCAGGACAGAATCTGGCTCCCTGACCGGGACTAGAACCCGGTGTGCCGGCGCCGCAGGTGGAGGATTAGCCTATTGAGCCGCGGCGCTGGCCAATGATGAGGTTTTACCTCACCCCAGTTAGGATGGCTATCATCCCAAAATCCAAAAATAACAAATGCTGATGAGGATGTGGGAAAAAAAGGAAACCTAATACACTGTTGGTGGGTATATAAACTAGAACAACCATTATGGAAGACAGTATGGAGATTCTTCAGAAATCTAATTGATCTACCATATGACCCAGGCATCCCACTCCTGGAAGTTTACTCAAAAGATAAGAAATCAGCATATGAAAGAGTTCTGTATGCACATGTTTGTAACAGTTCAATTTACAACAACTAAGATACAGAATTAACCCAGATGTTCATCAACTGAAGGCTGGATAAAGAAATTGTGCTATAAATATATATAATGGAATACTATTCACCCGTTAAAAAGAATGACAGCCTGTCTTTTGCAACAAAATGAATGCAATAGGAGACCATTATGCTTAGTGAAATAAACCAATCCCAAAGAGATAAATAACATATGTTGTCTCTGATCTGTGGTAGTTAATATGAGGACCAAAAAATATAATATATATATATGAAATTGATATCTTGAAGTCTGATTTTTATTTATATCCCTTGTCTGTACTCTTCAGGAATAGTGGTCTATTTTCTCCTTGTTGAATTCTTTGCTTGGTGAAGGAATAAGTTTGCATTATGAAGTAAACTAAAAGTAAGTTAACACAGAAGTTAAAAGAAAAATAAGAAAGAAGGAGGCAGGATGGGAAGTATTGTTATGTTTTTAAAACTATATGATAAAAAAGAAACAAGAAAAGACAAAAAGCAAAAACTATATGATTTATATGAAATCTGTTCTCTTTAAATAAATAAATAAGGCAAAGACCTTTAAATAAGAAACTGGAATCCAACTTTCAAAAGTTTTATTTTTAGTGTTTTAAAACATTTTAATACAACAAAGATATAAAATAATATATATTAGTTAAATCTGGATTTAATTTAGAATCGAGATATTTACTTATATACAATACTGTGCTTCAAGATATGGCTACCACAGGAACTTTCACATCTTTAAGTACTACTAATTTCTTTGTGGATAGGGAGACATTTAGGTAGAATTCTCAAAACAAAACATGTCCACTTTAGCCTGAGCTAACTCTGCTTCCTGCATTAAGTACCAGTGTCTACTTCCTTTGTTCCCTATCAGAAATAAGTCATTGCCTAACAACCCACAGATCTTCTGAATAAAAAAATTACTGAAGTTACACATTTTAAAAATAACATTACTAACTGATAATACTGCTTGCCTATGTTCAGTTCTTCAGACAATCTAACACAGGTCAGATCGAAATACCTGGAATAACAATGAAACTGACATGTTTTCCTTCTGCCACATCAGAAACAAAGCTTCCTTTTGCTGAGACATAGGGTGCACTGAATAAGAAGTTCTTTGGTTAATTTTAGTGGAATGTATCCTAAAAACCATTTTATCTGTAGCTCAAAGAATGGCTTTTAGATTTCATAGATATCTGTACCGAACTTTATATAAACCAATTAGTCACCTTTTAGTTATTTGAAATTGGTAGCATTCAGTCAGGGCAAGATAAGCAGCAGACCAAAACCTACTTTCATACTAATTTTAGTCATTCAAGACCACTCAAAGACAGAGAAAAAATAATAAAAACCAACCCAAATTCCTTCCATTCTCACTAGCTAAAGGTCAGATTGCAAAGGTCAGAAGCAATCTGACCTTTGACATCACTAGAAATTCTCCTCTATAGAGGATGGGGTAATCCAAGCTACACTTTTTACAAACACAAAGTATCTAAACTGCCAAGTAAGGCTGGCATTAAAATTGACATGCTGTCCCAAAGCATCCCCTCAGTTTCTTCAAACTGTACCATTCCTTTACATAAAAAAATATGGTAACTTTCCCCCAACAGAAAATAAAACAAAAATCCCCTGGCATGCTTTGATTTTGAAATTGTCTAAATGAAACCAATACTGTTTAAAAAAATCCACTGAACTATTCTAAATGCCTCAAATGCCTGAATACCTTAATAAACTGACAAAAGACTATACTATAATTACTTTTAGTGTGGGATAATGTAAGTCTATGGAAAGACTACCAAGGAATAACATTTATTAAATCAGATAGTTTAAAACTAGAATATGGTTGTTAGAAGTCTGAACTATTTTGGATCTAGAATTCTTTTGAAAAGTTCACTATAAAATTAGTGATGAAAATGCCTTTTGCTGAATATAGTTCAAAGCAAGTTAGTGTTATGAATATGACTGTGAGTATATGAGCAACACTTTCCAAACAGATGTCTCTAAAACAGATTGCTTCTTATCAGCTATAAAAACATTGGCTCCTTTGTTTGCCATTTACAAATTCTAGGATTTTTGGAATTCTTAATCCTAACATTTAGGCAGGTACAGAGTAGGACAGACCACCAATCACACAGTGTGAGTTCTATCACCAGCCGGTCTCAGATGTCAACAGCTTTTTCTATATAAACAATTCGTACTATTTAACTGATTGGTTGTAAATTTAAGCTCATTGCTTTGAAAGGATATTAATAAATACGGCCAGCATATCAGAGTTGTATCTGTGCCCTAGCAATTCTTATCAGAGAGAACTATGGAGAGGACAGCCACGTTTGAGAATTCTACAGCACAGTCATAAAATGTTTCCCCCCAAATCATCTGGGGATAAATGCAAATTTGTCTTCTCCAAAACCTCTTACTCTCCACCAACTTCCATTATTCTTCAGTAACACTACCCTGGCCTGGTCAAAAAAAAGAGTAGCACAGGTTCCAGGAACATATAAAATGCATCAAGGATTTTCAACATAACCTTCAGTTTGCATCCCCAAACCAACAACCCTTTTGGTTCCTTCTATACTAAGGTAGCCTCTCACAGGTCTGCAACTATAGACCAAATAAAAGATCAAAAGAACATGTAGAGGCATGTAGCATTTCTACCTAGCCATATTCACACTAAAAATGTAAACATAAATACTAACTTCATTATGGTTTAGACTTTAACAAGAAAAAAATATAAAGACAAAAATCTGGAAATTTCAGGACACAACGAAAAGCAACCAGAAATAGGTTTTATGCTTAAAAAAACAAAAAATAATTTTATCTTGAAGTTTTCTAAGAAAGAAACTTGAAGATGACTAATTTATGTAAACATGTCCTTGTAATAGTTAAAATAAATTATAAGTCTAGCTTACCTTTTGCTCAAAACAGGTATGATTAAATGCAAGGCTGGAAAGTTATTTACAATCCTCATTGCAGTCTGGTGTTAGGCATTCTCAGTGTCAATAGTTCTGCAAAGTTAGTTGCATTTATTTTTCTATTTTGTTCTAGAATAGAATCCATATGAAGGAAAGGAGACTGATGTTAGGAAACTTACCATTAACAATTATTTACATTTTTAAATTAATGTTGCCATAGGCATTTTGCAACATTTTTCCAAAAGCCAACATTAGTCTCTTCCTAACCAAACTCAGTCCTGTTTTATCATTTGGAAAAAATGGCAGTAATACTGTTTTGATTTCAAGGGTCAAACCACTGTAACTGGCACAGGCAAAATCTTTCACTCTTCAGGATTATGCAATTTCTTTAGATGAGATGTTGGCCTTTTTGTCCTTAGCAAATAACAGAATCAACAATTTGAGATATTATAAGATTCTGAAGTATGAGATTTAAAATCACAATAAAACTTACATTGCTATTTCTCAAGTGAGAAATAAAATACAACGTTCAGAGCAGACTCAAATTCAGGTCAATTAGCTCTGGCTGAAACTTGTTTGCAGAATATTCCTTTCCAACCTAACTTATTCAGGCTCCTCTGTAGCTTATACAGGGGTGGGAAAATGACTCAAAGTGCAAAAACAAAATATTTCACCCAGATAAGGAAGATGCAGGCTTCTGTTGTGGTCTAATTTTAGACCTCAGTATGCCTGCACCTTTTCAAACTCCTTGTTTTAAAACGGAATGTAAAAACTACACAAAGTATTCTAGAAGCTAAATTCATCAGCTAAGGTTCACATTCCAATTCCATAGCCATCCTACTATCATAGCTGCTACATAAAATCATTAAAAAATAAGGTGACAAATGTTATCACAGAGGTGATATTACTTAGGGGACTGAATTTCTAGTGTTGTAAACAGCAGCTAAATTATGTAATTTCCTAACTGCCAAATTAAGACTAAACTGCAAGAATGTATGTACACAACTGTATTTAAATAAAAAGCAACAAAACTTCTTTTATATCCAAATGTGTCAGGATTGTTCACTTCTAAGGGTCAAGAAAGAAACTTCAAAAACCAGCAAGTTAGTCTATGCCTACAACCAGTTATAAACTGGTTTTCAGAAATAAAAGGATTCTTTACATGCAAACTTCCCTACTTAACGACATAAGAATTTCATCTAACATCTGGTAAAATACTCCTACTTGGTTCATTAAACATCATTTAAAAATCATAAAATTGGGCTGTCATCTATGTGAATAATAACCAGCACAAATTTATCTCAGGTATCTGCACCCCTGAAATTAAAGTCCATTTATCACATGGATGCTAGCCATTTTTCTCTGATGAGTACTTACTGATGGCCATACGAAACCCTCATAACAAAACAGAAACCGCATCTTTTGTTGCATATTTGGTGAAAAATGCTAGCTCTTTATTTGCATGAATGAGGAGGCTGGTGGATCCTCATCAGTATTTCTTTGACCTCATATATGGCCCCTTGCACTCTCATTTCAGTCATCCTAGTAACACTTTGTGTACTTAAAGATACTTTAGAAGGCAAAAACTGTTTGTGACTAAAACAAATCAACTTCCAGAATTACAAGTTTTAAACAGACATAGAGATTAGATCAGCCAACAAGTATTGCTCATTTGGTAGGGATTATTCTCCTGAAGATAGTAAGAAGAGCTGCAAAAGACACTATTTCTTAACTGCATGCCTACTAGAAACCAACAAAATCCCTTTAACCAGCAAACTGCTTAAGTTAATTTGCCTACGTTCAATAAGCAAATACTCAACAGGTAAGGTTAACAGCCTAACATCAATCGTAACATTAAGTCTTCCTAAAATGGAGAGGCAGAAAACCTCCACTTAAGCTTTCTGTTCCAAAGCTAGGTAAGGGCTCTTGATTGTTCCTTCTTGCTTTTTATAACCCCAGCCTTGCTCAGAACAGGGAATTTTGTCAACATTTAAGCCAAATAGGCAAGGCATCCAGGAACAACCTATGGGGAGAAAGCAAAGTTATTCATTTACAACAACTATTATATATTTAATCACAAACTCTTTACAAAGATACAGTCTTCATCCAATCAGCCTTTTCATTATAGCTGGTTTTGAAAATGGCCAACAATATTCATTAGGTACTGTGCCATTAACGTTGCATTCAAAAAAAGAAAACATGGGAAACCAAATCCTTGCTCTCCTACTCTGTTGATATGCTCTGGTATTGGCCAGAGTATGGTAGTACAAAAAGAGTCTTGTTGTGATATAAAAGGCAATAAATACATCAATGGAATAATGTTCATGGGCAGCCAAGATGAAGAAGATTCCAAAGAGGTTGAGAACCCAGGATAAAGTGTGCAAGAAATTCCAGCTTCTTGGTGTATCTGGAAAAAGGACAGAAAGATCATTTTAAAACCCCATTCCTTAGAATGCTTCTCAGCCTCATGTCTCTTAGGTGAGGCTACTTCGTTCATTTTTCACAGACTGATACCTTTCCCAGAGCTTCCTCTGCAGCTAGTTACCTATACAAACAAGCATTAAAGAGATACTTACATTCAGTGACAAAGAAATTCAACATAGTTAGGACGACTGTGTGGCCACTAAACATGTAATCTCCACAAGTGTGAACGCCAGTCAAGGTCATACCAAAGCCACTCCAAATGGCAAAGGCACGGTGTAATTTCTCCCATACACTGCCATATATCTAAAAAGAAAGCTATAATTAGTGCTTGAAATGCTTAGGAGGTAAGACATTCCTAACATCCATTCCACTGAATATCAAATGTTGAATAACTTAGAAATGAGATCTAGCCAAAAGCAACCAGATCATCAGTCTAATTTCAGGCCAGATATGAGGACTAGGTGGTCAAAGCTTGACTGTGTTCAGAAATATTTTGGTAATTAAATGAAATCAGCATGTCTCAAATTCCTCTACAGGAGTTCCTTTACAATGAAAGGCGGTTATAAGGCAAAAAACATCTCCAAGCAAGCTTTTCATCTAGTATCAGTGATATTTGTTTGGCTGTTTTTGTCAATAAGAAACAGGTTATGACAGAGACCAATGGCTACCATTCAATACTACTTATCCCCTCTTCACTGGTCAAAGAATCTCAAAAATACTGATGAGTCATGAACTCAGCCAGAACAGTGAATTTCCCATCCTCCCTCCAGCTAGATGTGGACAGTGTGACTAAGTTCAATATAATAAGATACAAGTAGAAGCTTAAAGGATTTCTGAACAGGCTATTTATAAAGGAAAGAGCAGCTTAGGAGTCTTTTCTACCTTTCCACCATACCTCAGGCATGACAGAAGCTATAGTAGCCAACCAAGAAAACAAAGTGGCTCAAAGAATCAAGCCAGGTGTTAGTATGGTAGAGGAGAAAGAAACATCATGAGGAATCGTTTATTAATTTTTCAAAAACTTATTTGAGGGGCAGGGAGGCAGACAGGAAGACAAAGAGAGAAAGCTAGTGAGAACACACTTCGATCTACTGGTTCACTCCCTAAATGCCTAAAACAACTGGGGCTGAGCCAGGCCAAAGCCAGGAGCCAGGAACCCAACCCAGTCTTCTCATGTGGGTGATAGATACTCAACTACTTGAGCCATCATCTGCAGCATTCCCGGGGTATGCACAAGCAGGAAGCTGGAATAAGGACTGAAGCCAGAATTCAAACCCAAGAATTCTAATATGGGACACAGGCATATCAATGTGGTTTCTTAACCATTAAGCCAAATACGCACCCCTTATCATGAGTTTTTGATGACTCCAGGAAGATATAATACTAGGTCTGCAATACTTACTTTCAGACTTCTTTTGTGAGAAAGAATAATCCATTCTGTCCGTACTAAACCATCACCTTTCTGAATTTCCTGTTAGTAGCAGCCAAACCTGATTCCAACTTCTACACATAAGCTTAAAAAAGCAATCCATTTTTCAGTAAGAGTTTGAGCAATAGTCACTTAAAAAACAGAGGGCGGGGAGAGGGACAGTCACTTGCTACTTTTAAAAAAGGCATTTAATGGGGCTGGAGTTGTGGCATAATGGGGAGAGCAGCCACCTACAGTGCCGGCATCCCATATGGGCCTTGGTTCAGGTCCCAGCTGCTCCACTTCTGATCCAGCTCTCTGCTGTGGCTTGGGACAGCACTGGAAGATGACCCAAGTGCTTGGGCCCCTGCACCCTCGTAGGAAACCTGTTAGAAGCTTCTGGCTCCTGGCTTCAGAATGGCCCAGCTCTGGCCATTCTGGCCATTTGAGGAGTGAACCAGCGGATAGAAGACCTCTCTGCCTCTGCCTCTCTGTAACTCTGTCTTTCAAACAATAAATAAATCTTAAAAAAAAAAAAGACATTTAACATATAACAATAATGACACAAAAACCTGACAGAATTTTATATGCATTTACTGTGTACAAGGTATGCTAAGTGCTTTATATGTTATTGCATTTAATTTCCAAAACAATCCTAAGAAGTGATTTAATTTGCAGATGAGGGAACTGGCTTAGAAAGGTCATACAACTTGTATATAACAAAGCCAGGAAGTGAACCTAAGAAGTCCAAGTCCAAAGTGACCAAAAGAAACAACCTTATTAGATATCATGATCTCATTAGAAACCTCACCTGCTGATTACACACCTCTCAGCTTTCCCCTTCTGCCTCAGTTGAAGCAAAGAAAGGGAGAAAAATTAGTAACTGCAGAAAATAAAGTACATGGTTTGGTTCTTCCATGACCTCTAATGAGGATAGTTAGAGATATCACCCCTGAGAAAGTAGAAAATCATGTAGTGAAGAGACTGCTAGGAAAATGTTACAACCAAGGACAGGAAACAAGTGATGCCAGTCAAAACCAAGAATATTTGCTCAAATCTCCCTATCTTTTCTTGTCTTAAATGTCCTATTTATTGTTCAAGAAAAAAAAAGAAAACTGAAACAACAAAGCAGAATGAATAGAATGCACTAATCAAAGTATGAAAAACTAGTTTAAAAGTTTTTAGATTTCAAAAACAGGAATGTGAGGCCAGTGTTGTGGAGCAGTGGGTTAAGCTGCTGTCTGTGATTTTGGCTTCCCACATCAGAGCACTGGTTTGAGTCATGGCCACTCCATTTCCAGTCTAGCTCCCTGCTAATGTGCCTGGGAGAGCAGGAGAGGATGGCCCAAGTGATTAGCCCCCTGCCATCAGTGTGGGAGACCAGGATGGAGCTGCAGGCTCCTCACTGCAGCCTGGCTCAGCCCCAGCCATTGTGGCCATGTGGGACGTGAACCAGCAGGTGGAAGCGCTCTCTCTGTAACTCTGCCTTTCAAATAAATAAATAAATCTTAAAAAAAAAAAAAAAAAAAAAAAAAAAAAGGGGGGGTGTTGGTGATTCTGGTCCCAAACCCCCTACTTCTGGGAATACAATTGGGAATACCATTTCAAGCAATTACTTTATGACGATGAAAATGCCTAATGGAGTTCAATTTAAGGGATCTGATTGCTAGTAATTATCACCTTAATGTTCTAATTTTAACAAGTATGGAAAATAATACGGGTCAATAAGTAGGTTATAATTCAAAGCAATTAACAGTATTTAGGGCAGATTTGAACAGAAATATCCATATATTGAAAATGATAATGAAAAACAGTCATTAGAGACAGAAAAGGGGCCGTCCATACTGTAAAGGGATAGTGTCTTAATTTATTTCTACAGTACATGTTGCAGCCCTATGCACATATATCTTTCAGTTTAGTGGCTGCCCTCGAGCTACAGGAAATTCTGTTGTCAGTGTAATAAACCTATGGGAGAGCATAATCTCACACCCCATGACCAGATTTATACCTACCTGCATTATAAACAACATACGCAAGCAGAGGCTTTCTCTCTGAGATCCCTATGTCCCTGCCTAGGAAAGATCTTTTCACAGGAAGAAGAGCATGGGGATGGAACACCAGGCCAAAAGGGAGATTACCCCATGTGGTCTTCTGGCAGCTGTGTACCAGAGAAACTACGAGTAAGAAGACAGCCTTTGAACCTTAAGCAGTTGTTCCTTTCCTGAACCTCCCCTGGTCTATGTCACCACCTCCCCTCTTCTGGAGCCAAAGTCCCTATTCATTCCTTTATGCAACTCAAGATATTGTAAAAGCATCAACCATCTAGCCTGTTCTGTGTCTCATACTTTGTGTATCTTGATAAATTTGTATGCTTTTTCTCTTGCTAATCAGTCTATTATCAATTAGGCTACAGACTGAATTACCAAACCTTCAGAGGGAAAAGGGAAAATTAAAAACTTCTAGATAGCTAAAATATTTCTTCTTTTAAATCTCTACTAATCAATTAGCATACTATTGAGAGGAAACTGTTCTATTCCTGCTTCTCAGTATGTATCAAAACAATTTCAAAATAGACTAAAGACTTAAACATAAAGGTCAAGACACCACTTGGGATGCCTGCCTTCCATATCAGAGTGCCTGGGTGTGCGTTCCATCTCTGTTCCAGATCTCAACTTCCTGTTAATGCACATCCTGGGAGGCAGTTGCTGATCAAGTACTTTGGTCCCTGCTACCCACATGGGAGACCCAGACTGAGTTCCCCACTCTCAGATTCAGCCTGGCTGTTGTGAGCAGTTGGGGAATGAATGGCAGTCGGGGAGTCAATGAGCAGATGAGGTTTTTTTTCTCTCTCTCTGCCTTTCAAATTAGAGAAAAATTAAAGTAACGGCACCAAGGTATCAGATATCCCCTTTCAAAATGACAGTGACTCTCAAGGTTGATAATATTTTTATTTATTTGAAAGGTAGTGTGTGTGTGTGTGTGTGTGTGTGTGAGAGAGAGAGAGAGAGAGAGAGGGGAAGAAAGAGAGGAGAGGAGAGGAGAGGGGAGGGGAGGGGAGGGGAGGGGAGGGGAGGGGAGGGGAGGGGAGGGGAGGGGAGAGGAGAGGAGAGGAGACAGAGGAGAGGAGAGGAGAGGAGAGGAGAGGAGAGGAGAGGAGAGGAGAGGAGAGGAGAGGAGAGGAGAGGAGAGGAGAGGAGAGGACAGAGGAGAGGAAAGGAAGAAAGGAAGGGAGGAAGGAAGGGTCAGGCTAAAGCCAGGAGCCACAAACTCAATCCTGGTTTTCCATGTGGTGGCCAGGACTCAAATACTTGAGCCACCACCTTCTGCTTTGTCAGATGCACATTGGCAGGAAGCTATGGAAGTAGAGGTGAGACTTGACTCCAGGCCCTCTGATACTGAACACAGGCAGCCCAAGCAGTGGCTTATTAATCTGCTGCACCACCATGTCTGCCCTTCAAGTGGGCATTTTAACAATACATATAACAATGTTGAATGTGCTCATCCTTTAGTTCCACGATTCTACATGTAGTAATTTATCTCAAGGAGGTATAAAAGCAAAAACACAACTGTACAATGATATTTACTATAGCATTGTGTATCATTTGGAGACTGGCCGCCCCACTTCCGATCCCGCTCTCTGATTTGGCCTAGGAAAGCAGTGATAGATGGCCCAAGTCCCTGGGCCCCGGCACCTGCATAGGAAACCAGAAAGAAGCTCCTGGCTCCTAGCTTTGGGTCGGCCCAGCTCCTGCTGTTGTAGTCATCTAGGGAGTGAACCAGCAGATGGAAGATGGAAGACCTCTCTCTCTCTCTCTGCCTCTATCTCTCACTCTGCCTTTCAAATAAATTACTTAATTAAAAAATAAAATAAATAAAAATAAGCTAAAAAACAATG